TTCTTACTTTTTGTTTCAAGATGCTTGTGCATTCAGGTTAGATATTTGATGTTTCACTCATATTCCTCTCAAGACAAGGGAGATAAGATAGTTATCCTAAAGTCAAGAGAACAAGGCTGCAAGATCGTTTACAAGAGAAATTCATAGGTACAGTGAGAACCTGGGGAGATTTGCATTTCATTTCTCCACTTCCCTGCTAATACAAAAGTTGTAGTAAATACCCCAGATTTACTAAATCGGTTATTTCTGTTGGCTAGAAAATGTCCATTTGGTTTTGGAGTCCAGAGGCAAATGGGTTGACCTTGTGTTCTCCACTTTTAGACACAGGACGTTTCAGCTAGAAGCTGTTAAATCTTCTGGTATTTTGCCTCTGCCTTATGCTGTTGGGAAACATGATTAGGGTGTGCCATATGAGGCTAACCAATTTCCCCACAGCAGAGGCTACAGTTCTGTGGGAGGTTTTCTGCTACAAAAAGTGCCTAGTGAAACCACAGGCTGCTCCTGAGTCTTGTGTATACAGTAAGCTGTGGCCTCAAAGCAGGCCAGTACTGACTTCGTATTATCAGCACAACTGCCTCAAGTAAGTGAACTCTTTATCCAGGGAGTTGTTATCAAAAAGGTCAAGACAATATATAAAAATTGGTAGGTCCAGTAGGTCTCACCAGTTTGTGTACACACGTTTGTTTCATTAGCTTTTGACTGAAACATGGTAGCACCAAGTTTAGGATACCAATTTGAAGCAGACATGTGGACCTATAAGACTTTTATCACAAAAGTAAAACCACTATTTGCTGATAATTTGTACCAAGCCAGCAGATGTGTAGGTGGGTGAGGAAACTCCTCTCCATCATACTGCTGGAAACTGGATACTGTTGGGTTCTAAAACAACCTGGATATTTTCTTAAAAATATTTTCTTAAAAATTATGTATAACCATGATACAGTTCAATAAGTGAAGCAGCAATAAAATGGCCTCAGGATAGTAGACATCTCTACAGCACACAGAAGATGAGAAGATGAAAGGGAAGGTAAAAGGCCACGTCAATACATACAGGTAGATTTTGGCACAAAGGAGAAAGGGAAATCTGCTGAGGGATGCGAAGAGAATGGTAACCTGGTTAATGTGGCACGTGGAGAATGCTTAGACTGAAACATCTTGAAGCAACATAAACAATAAGATGCATTGCTGAAGGCCAGAAAAAGGGTGCTGGAACAGAATAAGAATGAAAATGAAGAGACAGCTAAAATCTGGCTCTTAATTTATAGCTGATGGATGTATTGGATTTACATGGCAAGGTTTTGGTAGCCAGGGGCAACAGAAGTGGCTTCTGTGAGAAGCTGCTGGAAGTTTCCAGGATGGACCCACCACTGTCCAAGGCTGAGCCAACCAGGAATGATGGTAACGCCTCTGTGATAATGTATTTAAAAACGGGTGAAAAAAAGTTGTTGGGCAGTTGAAATTGCAGCCAGAAAAGTTGAAATTGCAGCCAGAGAAGAGTGAGAATGTGTGAACTACTCTGCAGACACCAAGGTCAGTGGAGAAGGAGGAGGAGGTGCTCCAGGTGCTGGAGCTGAGGTTCCCCTGAATCCTGTTGTCCCTCTGCAGCTCATGGAGGAGATCCACACTAGAGCAGGTGGATGCCCAAAGGAGGCTGTCATCCCATGGGATTCCCATGCTGGAGCAGGGTCCAGGCAGGGACCTGCTGACCTGTGGAGGGAAAGCCCACCCTACACTGGACCAGGTTTTCTGGTAGGACTTGTGTTCCTGTGAGGGACTCATGCTGGAGCAGCCTGTGCCTAAAGGACTACACCCTGTGGAAAAGTGACACATGTTGCAGCAGTTTGTGAAGAACTTTGTGTTGCCTGTGGGATGGACTCACTCTGGGGAAGTTCACGGAGGACTGTCTCCTGTGGGAGGCATCTCATGCTGGAGCAGAGGGGAAGGACCCCTCTCCCTGAACAGTGGCAGGAACAACCTCTAGTGAACTGACTGTAACCCCCATTCCCATCTCTCTGCACCACTAGGGTAGGAGGTAGAACTTGGAAAGGAGGGAGGGGTGACAGGAACATGTTTTTAAGGTTTATTTTACTTCTCATTCTCCTGCTCTGATTCTGTTAAATTTATTTAATATCTCTACTTCTAGTCTGTTTTGCTTATGATGGTGATTGGTGAGTGATCTCTCCAGGTCCTTCCTTATGTCAACCCATGAACTCTTTGTTATATTTTCTCTCCTCTGTTCAGTTGCAGAGGGGAGTGATAGAGTAGCTTTAGCAAGTACCTGACATCCAGCCAGGGTCAACTCACTACAATGGAAATAGTGTTGTGTTTAGTGGCAGTGTATTTGTGCATTCTGTAGAACTTGCAAGACTCAGTGACAACTGGGATATGAGGACTCATAGAGAGTTGACCTGAAAGAGATACCTGACTTGTAAGCCTGAGGAAAGGTTGCTAGCCTGGATCTAGAAGGAAGTATGACTCCATTTGGCCATAGTGAACTGAAGTTGGTGTTAGTCATTCAGAGAGAGCACAACAACAAGTTGTGAAGTGCAGTGGAAGATCCTCAGCCTAAACAAACAGATGATGCTTCGGTTAGGGCAAGGGAAGTATCACAAAAGTCAAGATACTGAGACAAAAAATGGCAGTTAACTGTTGCATGTATCAGTATACTGATTATGAGTCTGGCCAGGGTGAAGTTAGGAAAGACTGAGAACACTAATGTAGTGGAATACAAGAAGAAAAAGATATATCTATAATTTGGAAAGGTGGATATTTTAAAAGCAAACCAGTGGTTGTATATGTGGATAGGATTATCTCTTTCCATGTCTTTTCATGATGAACTGAGGCCAAGTTTATTAACCCCTGAATCTAACTGATATAGCATGAAACAACATGAAAAGTTGTTTGACTTTGACTAAAGAAATATCAGATCAAGAGAATCTAAGAATTGATTATAAGCATCAGCTGAGGTGAGTGAAAATGAAAGCTAAATCGGGAAGGATAAAGTAATTGAAATTCAGAACAGGTGAAGTTAGATTTCATATGTGTTAATTCCCCATAAAGGTCAGTCTGAAATTGCACATTTAACCTGTAGTACAAGGACTTGACCTTGGACTAAGTTCTTCTAAATTGTAGTTGTACATGCAAACTACAGAGCTGTACTTTCCAATTAAATGCCAAGTACTAAATTGTATTTAGTGGGAGGTTTTGATGTGGTATGAAACCATTTGTGCATTTCTTTGAGACTTGAGAAAGTGGAATGCAAATCACATATGCACTCCAGACTTCACTAAGTCCTTTTTACATTTGTGTACCAAATGCTGGAAAAGGGACCACTGAACTCTTCCCTATATGGTGTTCTATGGTCTCCACTGACTTTGGGGGCCAATGGACAGCTATCAGCTCTCACCCCTGCTTACAGACCACTCTGCCACTCTGCTTTTAGAGCGATGCATCTTCTACTTCACCTGCTGAGGCCAGGTCCCCCTGGCCTCATGTATGTACATAACATACTGTCATGTACAGTATGACCTTCTGAAAGTACTCTAACCTAGTTTATCTTGCACACTGAGTTTGTCCGAAGTGCCTCCTCCCTCCTCCCCAATAAAAATAATAGTCTTCAAGTTAATTCTACACTGAGAAGTCACACACTGTGATAAGGAAAGCAAAGAGTCTGCAGCTGAGGCAGACCTTGGAGGCAGATCTATCCTCACCCAAGCCAGGTTACAACTTTGGCTTCACTCCATTACTATTACTGGAACACAGCACAGTCAGGAATTTTGAAATCGCATCCAAAAATCTCCCACTTGCAGAGTCTGGGATGAGTCTGGGCTACCCATATATGCCCATAAGTGCATGGATATTTGCATGATGACTTTATCTTTGGGATTTTAGCCCTACAGTTATGCTATATAAGGCTTCTTCCATAAAAATCTCTTTGTTGCATATGGTTTCTGTGACACTGCAGTGAAGAAACCCACTTTCTTGGGAAGCTTTTTCCCCTGTGCACAAGGAGGGCAGTTGCTGTGAGAACTGCACTGCCAGATCCATGTGACTAAATTAAAAGCACTATGGCACCAATTAACACCAAGCCTTTGGGTACACCCCTTTATGAATGTGTTCCCCGCAACATGCAAATATAACATTAGGAATCAAGATAGAGAGCTCTTCTGTGGTTTCCCATACAGTTAGGATGCAGAAAATGGCTATGAAAAGGTGTGCACTCCGGGTCATATGGAAGGGAAAAGCTTGCAGTGCCATGCACCAGGAAGAAGAGCTGCTGGGATGTCTCAGAGCCACCTCATCCTGGCAAAGCTGCACACGCTTTATGGCAAAGAGCCCTTTGCTGACTGATCTAACCCAGGGCATGGGACACTGAGATTTCATATCTAGCAGCTGGGAACTCCTGGGAGATGATGAAGTCATTTGTCACTGAACGAATTCAAAACATAGGCCCATACTAGTAATTGTGAAAAAAATTAACTCTACCTTAGCCAAAACCAGCACACATGGTCACAGCCTCTACACTAGCTCCAACGAGGGTGCATAAAGCCCCACCACATCCCAGGACTGGGTCAGCCCCTGGCACACATCTGGGAAGAGTATGAGCATGGTTGGCATGGTGCAAGTGTGATGGTTATATGCCACTGAGCTCTGCATATCTACTCCCACCCCTCACTGTCTCACATTGCTGATCTCGCTGTGTGTGGGATGTGTAAATAGATTGTTTTCAAAAGGTCAAGTTGGAAAGATATCTAAAACATGAGCAAATACATGCAAGTAGTTTTTGAAAGCCTATTTTTGAAAGCCTGTTCGAAAGGTCACCAGTGCCTTCACCACACAACTTTCTGCTATCATAGCCCAGAACACACCACCCTTTCAAGAAAAGGTGCAGCGTTCCCTAATACTTTTTCACTGCAGAAGCAACTTCCTCCAAGCGAAAGCAAACTGTTCAGCAGAGATGTGGAACTATATAACACCATGCAGCTTGTTTCTACACCTACCTATGCAATTCCAAGGTAAAGCTCCCATACGTGATTATTGAACGAGCACACACCACACGGTTTGTCCAAGCACGGCACAAATGGTGGATCCTCAAATCCCTTTACATCAGCCAGCCTGAGCACAAACTGAGTCAAGGCAGTGGTATCTGGATTCAGCCTTCCACGCAGGCAAAGTGCTCAGCTAGCCCAGTGGCTGCAAGGTTCAGTAGTCTCTGCCTCCCTCCTGGATCAGCACAGTGCCCGATCGTGAAAGATCAACTTGAGGAAAGCGTGACATCTGAGAAAAAAAGATTTTGCACATTTCCTGGTGTATGTAGTCAATGGAGAGCAAAGAGTTGAACAAACTGAATCCTCCTCTCTTCTGGACGGTGAACATGGGAACATAGGAAAGAATTTCACAAATATGGATGCTGCTAGTTCTGAGCACCTCCTTTTTTCCCTTGGAAAGGAGAAAACCCATAATTTTCATTACCAGCATTATTCATTGTATGTGCCTCACTAGGAATCTCTAGTCACAGTTGAATCCTTACAGAATAAGTTTCAGCTACATATACTACTTAATACTTATAGATACCTTACACAACATATACTTAATGGCACCCATCACTTCATTTAAGTCATGTTGGCCCTGGGGACCATGCCTCTAGGAGCTGCACACATTAATGTGAGATAACAAGTAAGAAAACATGATGTTCTTGTTCTTATGCACAGCTTAGAATGTTACATAGAGTAAAACAGATCTTTTGCTAGCTCCTAGACTGTTCGCTAGAAACATCGCCACCCATAAGTCCCCGCAGAGTATCAAGGTTTATTGTGACAGAGAACAATGTCTTAAAATTGTTATTTGCAATAGGCTTTTTCTGTGCCTGTCACAAGTTGTAGTATGACAGCAGTCAGTCCAGATACTGTTATGAAAAAACAAACAAAATAAATCAAATAAAATAATATTTCTCATTTGTTAGAACATGCTTGCTTAGTTTCATTTTATATTTCTAGCCCACAGAAGGCTTACAGGAAATTTCAACTGGTAAAATGTAAATTTACCGTAATTGTCTAGTAGTACCAGATGCAGCTGACCACAAGTTATGTGCTTCAGAAAAAAAAAAAAGGTGTTCATACTAGCAGGGTAATAAATGACAGGAAACAAAATTGCCTGATGCTAGCACAGGTTTTTGAGCCTGTGACTCTCAGAAAAAAATGTGTACCATACCTCCAAAGAACGCTATTCGTTCTACTGAAATTCCCACAACGAAAAAGACATAGTGGAAAAAGTTAAACTGCAGAAAAAAATTAAGCTTTTGGTTTGTTTCCTTATAGCATGCTGCTCTGAGGGCTAGTGGGACTACTAGCACACAAAGCTGAACCAGGGGCTGAACCAAAAAGCTGAACCAGGGGCATCCCTTCTCCTCTGGCAGGACAAAGAGGTCCTCTTCCATGTGAGCCTCATCCGAAAGCCGTAAGCAGAGCTCTTAGAGCTAGAAAAACTCTATTTTCCAACTTTATGATATGATGCCAACACTGGATGCAGATATTAAACAGAGGTCCTCTTGATTCTTCAGGACAGGCATAAGCTTTGAGCATTCCAGGTGGTCACTGAAGCTGAAGATCCCATTGCTCTGCCAGTGGAAACACTCCTCTGCCAGTGCTGTGGCTGGCTGCTGTCCACCTCAGCCGCGAGTGGAAGAGGACAAGGAGTACTGCTGAGTCATCATGACTCTCTTTTTTCACAGGTTCCCTCTTCCAACCTTAACTACACTGCCCTTGACCACTCCAATGGTCTTTGTGCTACTTCTTCCCCCTCACACCATCACACCATCTTCTGTGTCTTCATAATGTGCCAAGTGCTTGGTGTCCTCTCATATGCTCCTCAGATTAATTTCTTTCATTATTGTTTTTTGGTCTCTGGCCTCTCTCCAGTCACACACAGTTGCAAACCCCTGGGGTAAAGTGTATATTTTATTACGGGCTGCTCAGTAGTTGCTTCATGACTACTGTCCACCTCCTTCTGCCTGACCATTTCTCCCTTTTCTGGCTCACCCATTCATTATTTCCTTCTCACCCCTCCCTCACTGTGCTCAGGCGGTGTCCCCACAGGTGCAGGAAGCCCACAGGAAATAAAGTCTATTAGTACATTGACCAGGTTACTCCTGAGGCCTTCTACTTGCTACAATGAAACAACCCTGTGAGACTACTTTGCCGGGAAATGAGCTCACCTAGCTCCAAGGGCCCCTTTGGGAGACACAAACACTACAACATCCCACTTACATACACGTATACAAAGATACACAGTTGTCAGTGTTCCAGGTCATGTTGTCCATATGTACCCACTTTCCTATTTGGCTGTGTCCATCCCCATGTGTTTTTCCCGAGTAACACTAAGGGAAAGTCTTTGGAGTAGAGAGCTTCTCTTACTGTTTTGGCATGATGACCTTGGTGATTTGAATAATACAAACTGCTGTTATAAACAGAGCCAGAAAGGGGAGGTATGCAGACCACATGTGTACAGCTTTCAAATCTCACAATCTATGCAGGGTCCTTGAAGACCTGATCCTGAGTTAGAAAAGTCACATGTGCTTGTGAAGCTGAGCTACAGAGTTGTAACCAGCCGCTTTCAGAGGAGTGAAAAGTACAAGCTGAACACCCTGAGCACGTAAGTCTCCTAATGGAAAATTCTGGGAGGGAATGAGGTACAAAACCAAATCGCCTATTACTTGTCCTTAAAAATTGCTAGTTTGCTTACTTCTGCAGTGTTGGCCTTCAGGAGCTCAGTAAACAATATTTTGGGATTTTGTGATGCGAATATTTATGAAGGCAAACATTATTAATTCAGTTTGAAAAGTAAAAAACAAACAAACTACCCAAACCAGACAAATACCCACTTAAGAAAAAAACTTAGCTTAAGTTACTCCCAAATGAAATTGATACTAGATGTTGCAAAACTGACCCAAGCAGCTGCATTTGAGAACCAGCCTGTCCCTGCCCCTTTCCACATCCATTTTTGAAGAGGCAGGAATTAGTGTGCCTAAGTGCATCAGGAGAAGACCAGGGAATTCAGGCACTGTCGAGCAGGATATAAATCCCCTCAAATGACTTTCCAACTAATGGTAGAGGGAAGGAGCGTGAAAGGTTTCATCTCAGATTCTTGGTCAGCCAGAACACCTGATCCAACTGGATGCCACCAGCAAACATGGAGATGAGGGATTTTCAGAAGAATGACCATCAAGTCTTCAGCCAAAGGCAACCACAAGGTGCCAGCAGCTGCCTCATGCAGCCCCATTGCAGACTACAAGAATCTAGACTCTCAAATAAAAATTAGTCTGCTTTGTTTACCCATAAGGTACCAATAATTCATCCCACCTTCTGGAAAACAGGATTTCTTGACAATCATATCTCCATATCTGTCTGGGTGGCATCCAGTTCACCTGCTTACTAAGTTTTTGAAGCATTTTTCCACTGGCTTTATGGAAAAGAAGGCCTTAATGAGCTGAGGAGCAACAGCAGGCTTGACCTTGGCAAAAACTACAGCTGCCACCTGATCACAAGAACAGGCTTTGCCAGCCAAAGGGGACGAGAAATGCTAAGGGTGACATTTTCTAAAATGACCATGTCTTTGGGCATCTTCCTCGATCATTTATGATTTTCTTCTACTTTGCAAGTGACTTTAGCATTGCTGTCTACTAAATGCCTGAATATATCTAAATGTAAATATATAAAAGCCCATAAATGTAAAAAAATAAAGCCATTTGAGACAGCTCATATACACAGAAAGAATTAGAATGCAATTACTTTGCCTTTTCAAATGGTCAAATAGTGGTATCAGCAACTGAGTTTTTTTCTCACCGTTTACTAGTATGAGGTAGTGCATTGTACTATACATATAATATTTATGCTTCATTGGAGCAAAGCAGTTCAGTTGCAAGTGAGGGATAATTTCTCAACCACAGGAGGAAACTTCCTGTGTTCTTTGGCTGCTATGGGCAAGTTAACTGTAGCAGGAAAACCTCATCCAGTATCTTCAGGTAGAGTTTCAAGATACAATACAGGAACTCATTTGTGAAAGAGAGTAAAAACCCCAAGACTTTGCCTCCAGCAAACTTTGTGGCAGCAAGAGTGTGTGCTAATTAACCACAAAAAGGCTTATATGGCAGCTACTTTGGTTTGCTAAACATTATAAAAAAGTTTTATATCTCTGTTAAATGTACTAAGGACCGATCCAATATTTCCTTATTTCAGTGGATAGCAATCTTTTAGTGAAGTTTGAATCATGGCCAGAATGGAGATGCAACAGCGACTTTAAGATAGTAAAATGGAAAAGAAATTGACTTCTTATTTTTAAATTTAAAAGATGTTTTACTTGTGTCACAGACATAGCGTATAATAAACTTCATACCCAGATTTATAAATTGCTTCTCTCCAGTCAAGTAAAGCAATATGGTTTTGGGCAACGTGTTGTTTTCTTGTTAGGATTTCACTTTCATGAGAGAAATATACTCTGTAGTGAATCAAATGTAAATAAAATCTTAACAGCACAAACCATAGGTTTACAGAGAGCAAACCCTGCCAGACAAATCAAGACTTCAAGTATATTTCTCAGATAATTGCCAGTGTTTCATAATACTTTTTCAATAATTCTCCATAACGCCTTAATTCCAGACATATATGTAAAGTATACAAATTCCACTTGTGACAGGGCACTCAACTCCCATAACCTCCTTTCAAACCTTTTTTAAAACTCCCCAGCTGATTTTGCAGCATGCAAAACCACAACAGACTAATAGGAAATTGTCTAAAAGTCATCGTGAATGACTATAGGCTCGATCAACACTTGCATAAATCAGGTGATTTCAACAGGAAAGGTAAGCATTCGAAGCCTATCTTTTTTTCAGAAGAAGGTGTGAAGATTCTCACAGAGAGTCTAGTAGGTTCATAGTTCATCCCTGAAAGAGGAAGTGTACGACTGCCTTATTCAAGAAACCTAAAAGTGTGCGTGAGCAGTGACATTACTGCAGAAATACAGCATCTGACCCTCAATGTCATTGTGGGAATAGTGGCATGGCATCTAGGAAAACTTCCCTTGTTTCTATTTACTATTTTTAAGATATAAAATACGTACAAAATAGCTACAGTAAACCACATATGCCACATTTAAGTCAAACCCAGAGACGAAGTAAACATCTATTAATTAGGTTTTTTCTGTTAGCACTTTGCCACTCACATTTTTTTCTGGCAACCTAAAATTTGATCAAAGGAATCACTGGATGCAAGTGGTTCCTGTTAAAAATATATTAGAAAATTAATTGAATTAATGGTTTGCAGCTAATTATGAGATTAGTTGAAAAAAACCCTAAACCTCAAAATAAAAAAACAACCAATGAAACAAACAAACAAACAAAACCCTAAAAAACTCCATCCAGTTTTCTAGCTCCCTCTTT